CCAGGTACAGGGGCTAGAAATAAAGATAAACAAGTTATTGGTGTGTAGCCTGAAGCGGGGGTGGGGTGGGGGGTGGAGTAAATCACCTAGAGGAAAAAGCTGATAAACCATACTCAGTGCTGTGATAGGTTATCTCTTGTTAGAAAATGTCCCTTTATTCTCATAGGAGAACTGAAGCAATCTCTTTGCCTGTCATTTGAGACTTTTTGATAAATATCATTTAAAAATATAAATACAATTACAGTAACTTTAACCGGGTTGCTAAGTTTTTCAGCTTCGTTTCAAACACTGAGCACAAGGGATGAGCCTAACAGACATTTTAGACTGCGATGTGAAAAATTAAGGCTTTAAAGATAACATTCAAACTGGCATTGGGCATGCCACTGGGCCTGTCACCACCAGTACTTATAGCGTGCAGGCTTCTAAGACAGAGGCATGGCATGCAGTCAGCTGGAGTCTTGCTTTCACAACAATTTTGGTTACAGGTTGGGACAAGATTTTTGAGGTTCAGGTTGAAAAAATAATACATTTTTTCCTTTGCCTGAGCAACATCTTACAGTCTATTTCAGCTGACTTCTGAAATCCAATCTTACTGGGACATTTATTTATATTTCAGAGATAGTCTTTTATTTAAATAGACACTTGGCAGCATAATTTGGCATAGGTTTAAAGACAAAGCAAAAGTAAAATTACCAGCATAACCCAAGTCAAGTGTAATTGATGTAAGATTTTTATTTTTTATTATTCTGTGCATCTTTAGTATGTATAGATAAGTATGAAATATTTCACAAAATAGTTCTGAATATTTCTCACAGAATCCGTGGAAAAGTATGCTATAGCTATTACTTTAGCTTTAACAACATTGGATTGGAGATGCCAAGTCTAGTGGGTACTTTTCAGTCTTTAACTTATTTAATTCCTCTGTGCATTTAACTTTGTTCTATAGTCTCCAAAATAGTCTACCCTGTTTCTTTGCCTTTTGGTCTTATCATTCCCCCCACCCCCCTTCATCTTTGCCTGCATCTCTTCCTCCACCTTACACCTAAATGTTGGTATTACTGAGGTGTGTGCTCAAGTCTCTCTTCTCTTTGTTTGATATACTTTGCATTGGGAAATATAGTTGTTATCCTAAGTTACAGACTCTAGTCACTTGCCCTTTCCGTACTCAATGTTTTCCTCTCCCTTACCTCCTACACTTAAATTGGTCAGCAAGTGAGTTTAATTCAGTGAACACCTGAGTCTGGCTATGTACCCAGCTTTCTGATAGACACAAAGTGCTGTGCTTAAATATCTCAAGGCAGTCTATACTTACTATCCTCACTATTACTGCCTTCGGCCAGGCTCCTGTCATTTCTTTTCTGCGCATTTATGATCAGCAAACATTAATTGAGAGTTCACTCTGTGTCAATCCTGAGCATTGGGATTACAGAAATGATTAAGTTTTCATAGCAAGACCAACAAACAAGTATATGCGATATAGGTTACAGAAAGCTTGATTTAGGAAATGTGAACTCATGGTAAATTTTCCATTACGTGCATAATACTACGTTAGAGTTGTGGACAAGTTTGCATTGTATAAAGAATCAGTCTCATCTAGTTCAGGGTTGAATACTGCAAAGAGCCAGCGTAAGATAGGCAGCAATACTACTGGAAGACTACCTCTAAGTCTCTCTTTTACTGTTGTAATTTGTCCCTGTGTCATATCGGATTGTCTTGCTTCAATGTTTGTTTTACTCTTTTCTCCCCAGTGTTTCATAACCTTACTGGAAAGCTACCAAGAGTGCAGGGCTGGATTTGATTTTTAATTTATGGGAAATGTTATCTGCACTGAATATTCCTTAATGGAATGGTTGTGTAAGACATTTGCATACGGTGCATAAGGTGCTGAAGAAGTACAGGAGAGATCCATTGTGAGTAGGTAGGCAAAGACCTTACAAAAGTGATCTAATTGAGCAGGGCTTTGAAGCTGGTGCGACAGCAGGGGAGTAGCACTATGAAAGCACTAAAGTACATACTGGCAACTGCAAGTCATTTCTTAGCTCTGGCAGATAATGGACAAAGAAGGCTTTAGCTGGAAACAGTGGGGCCAGAGGAACAGTTAGGGGCCATAGAAAGCTCAAGAAGCACTTCGTTAGGCTAAGGAATGTGGACTGTGTGGAGTTACTGAAAGGGTTAAATAAGAGGACTGACCTGGGGTTATATTTTAGAAAGAAGTGCTCAGAGGGGTCTGCCGAGCTCTGTCCTCACTGTCACCAGAGTCAGTTTAGTAAAATAAAAACACCAGATGGGGCATGCCAATCCTAGCTGAAAGCTCAAGATGACGCCCAATGCCAAAGTCCAATTTGGTTGCCATTTCTGTGAGGAGAGTTGCTGAGTCCTCTACCTTGAACCTTTTTTTCATCAGACACCCACATGGCTCATTCTTTGTTGTCTTCATGTCTGTGCTGAAACTTCACTAGCTGTCAAAACCAGCACCCTGTCACTCCTTAGTTCCTTACCTTGCTTTATTTTTCTTATTAACACTGACAGCCAGAAAAGTTAGAAGTTTTTGTATGTATCCTCCCACTGGAATGTAAGCTTCATGGGAACAGGAGTTTTAGTGGGTTTTGTTCACGCTGAGTATTCTGTTTGCGCCACATGCTGGATGGTCAATATTTGGTGAAAGGATGTGGCCCCAACTGATACTAATAACAGGAAAGAAACGGGGAAGGCCAGACTTTATAGGCATGTTCCCTGCAAAACATTGGGGGAAGGGGAGTGGACAAAGGGAAGATAGTTGCATGCCCAGAAAAGTTGGGGGACTAGCGGAGGTTCTGTCAGATCATGGGCCAAAATGGGCATGGCTACTGGAAGGGCAGGAAGATTTGGGGTACATAGCCTCCTAAACAGAGGAGTTTGACCTCTTATGCACTTGGCTTTGTTGGGACTCCTGTGATTCTGGGCTTGTGGGGCTCTTGCTCCTGCTTCCCTGCATTCGCACACACAGCGGACTAATGGACTATAACTAGCCTGATGCTGAACTGGACCCCCGCTCCAACAGGGAAAGGAAACTCTGGACACTGGCTTTGCTCCTAGCTTTACTGAAACCCCACCTCCGCTTCTGTGACGGGACTCAGGGAAATGGGACTTGGGAAACACAGGGATTTAATCCCATGCAAATAAAAATCACTCGTTCTCCCATGCAGGTCTCAGAAAATTCTTTTTCTGGGGCTACTGTTAAGAACCACCTCCAGCAGCATCCAGCAGGGAAGAGGACCCCCACTTCATAGGGAACCACAACGAACTTCCCCCTTCTCTCTCGCGCCCTATGCTTCACACATCAGACAGGGGACTTCTCGCAGCTCACCCTTCCCCAGTCATGTCTCCTCCTGAAATCCGGTTCATCTTTCAAGATCCATCTCATATACCACCTTTTCTGTAAAAATCTTTTTTTCAGGTAGTTGTTCTGATACTTAGCTCCCATAACACTTTTGAAATATGTAGAAGAGTGTTTTTCTGACCTGCCAAGGACATGACAGGTGCAAATAAATAACAAGTGATTGATCTATAGAGAATTACTCAGGGAGGTACACAGGCATTGTAGGTAAAAATTGAAATTCAGTTGATTAATTGGAGAAATGTAGTAACTAGGTGTGACTTCAGTTTGATTATAAACGCAATGTGATTAAGGGAAAATAAATACATAGAGAAACAGTCACCATTTAATTATATGGTTACATAAACAGTCTGGAGATAGTTCTGACTTATTTTGTATGTATGCCATTTTACCAGTTAATCTTTTTTTGTAGAAATAATTTGAACTATAATAGAAATAGGCAGGTTCTGAAGAAATGACATGTTAGGGACAATGTAAAAATGTTAAAATTTTGTATTTTTTATCTTTTGCATAAAGTATTACAATTCACATATAATGTTGAGAATAAATTATCTAGAAATGTTTTGATTGCATCAAATTAATAGCACTACTCAAATCAATTTCTGCTTTTTAAAGATACTATCATTTGAACTGTCAAAAATGTTTTTGTTTTCTCAATAATACTGGAAAACAGGTGTTTGTTATAAGAACACTCAAGATAACTGTTCTGTCAAATGGAAAGGTGCAGGCATGATCTTAAAATCACTTTGTTTGGTTTTTTTAATAGCTTCTCTGTATTTCAGCATGATTGTCTAATGATCTGTCAATTCACTTTTCATAGTAAATTTCTGACTAAGGCTTTTGTGTATAGTAGTCCAGCTTCTCATTTCTAAACTCAAGTTCTACTTGTAACCATAAGTTTCTTTTCTCTCAGATGAAAATCATAACTAAATGTTGGGATGTCATTGAATTTTCTAATTGGGGCACAAATTATGGATGCTAATAAAGTAGAATTACTGACCAGTCAGAAGCAAGATTTGCCAGTAATCTCAGTTAACTTCTAATATTTGTCATTCAACAAATGTAAATATCTAAAGTCAGATGTTTTCTTCTTTTAATACTGGAAGACACATTAGATGGCATTAGAACCATCTGGAGGTGCCAAAGAGTTTTGAGAAGTTGTCACTAACAGGATGAAATTGTTAAATATAGGAAGCTGGGGTTTTGAATATAATTTTTTTTCAGGGTTGCTCTTATTTATCTGCAACATAAACGATGCCAAAATGCTTCCAGCAGATTGCGAAGCATGATTTTCACATAATTTATTACAGATTTTTTTTCCCTTAACAATGGTTGTGTTTAAAGGAAATAAAATCCTCGTAGATTTGTTAATTGGAAACCACTGTACCACAAATGTCTGAATTATATGAAGTATATATGATATACTTAGTCCTATCATAGATTCATAAGCTTTTAATAAAAACATTATGAAGAATTTTACCCATCCCTTGTTTTGCTTAATTAAGATAAAGAAAGGACCATTTTGAAAGGATTCATGTAAACTGAAAGTAGACTTCAGATGTTTGTTTTATGAGAGAAATATTTGAGGAGATGCTATAAGGCAATTGAAAATTGTGCTTTATATATTTTAGAGTATTTCATGACATTTTGTTTGTTTTTCAGCATCAAGCCAATCCCAGCTGAAGGAATCAAGTCAAATCCTTCCAAGCGACATAGAGACCGACTCAATACAGAGTTGGACCGTTTGGCGAACCTGCTGCCTTTTCCACAAGATGTTATTAATAAGCTGGACAAACTTTCCGTTCTTAGGCTCAGTGTCAGTTACCTAAGAGCCAAGAGCTTCTTTGATGGTAAGACAAAAGGGTTTAATTTTTCTATAATCGCTTATAAAATACTTATGTTGAATTTGGCTGCTTCTGTGTTGAAAACTGTAAAAATTAGCCATATGTGAAAAAGTTTCGTTTATTGCTGTATAGTAAAACTTAAGTAGCAAAGCCAAATTTTTCATATTTCCAAAAGTCAGTTTTCCAGATTTATTCATTAAACAGATGCTGCCACTAAATGATAATGTGGTGTCATTCTTTGATAATTATGTATTTGGAACATATGCTCATATTAAGTATGTCAGTTTCCAGTTCCACTTATTTTTCCAATTTACTTTTTGGAAGTCTCCCCCCCCCCCTCTTTTTTTTTAATGGAAAGAGTAAAACACATATTAACTACTATGGATTTCCTTCAGTATGTTTTTATAGATAGGTCATTTCATTTATCCTTTCAAAATTATGTATACTTCTGTTTTATATTAACTGTATGTTCATCTAGGAACATGTAATTAAAAGTTTTCTTTTCCACTGAAAAGGGCATTTCATTATAGGAGTTAATGGAATTGGATTTCAGTCTCCATTCAGTCAAACTAGTAAGTAGCCCCCTACCTCAGTTTACCCAGCTCCAAAGTTAGGGATTTGAGCTAGGTGATATTTGTTACCTTTTAATCATACAGTATTTTCTCTTCATGAAGCATTTAAAATGGAAGTTTCTGTTTGAAATGTTTCAATGTATCTTCTCATTTTAAATCATTTATGGATTTATTTTTATCTGTTTATGTGTCAGAAATAAATTTTTTTTAGGAAATGTTCAGTGTTTTAAATGTATAATGTTATTTTACAAACAGTAAAGGATTAATAAAATTTCAGTGGCCTGTCAGTGTGTCTCACACTTCAGTGTACTTACAAATCACTTACGAATCTTGAAAGAGGAAGGTTTTTATGCAGTAGGTTTAAGTATGGCCAGAGATTTTGCATTTCTAACATGCTCTCAGATGGTGCTGATACTTCTGCCCTGGTCCCATGTGCAGATACTTGAATTTGTAATTTGTGTTTAGAATATTGTGAAACAGTTATTTCCTTTTAGGTTTATATTTAGATGGTGTGATGTGTTCAATCTGAGCATCTTTTTTTATTTTTTGTTGTTTGCTTGCTATTTTTTATTTTGGATAAAAGCTATATGGTTTAATGGTTGTGATCCAGGCAATAAACATGGGTTTGAAGCTAATAATTTCTCTGATCTATATAAAAAGTCTTTGAATTTTCCGTTTTCATCTGTATCAGACCCTTCATCTTCTAGATGAGTTATGTGATACTCATTGGTGTATATTGTGTGTGTTTATCAGCTGTATAGCTATTTTATGAGAGTGTTGGAACTAGAACCCATTTCCAGATTCTCTATATTGTTTTTCATGACCATGTCTCAATTACTTCTCTTTTTTGGGAACCATTTACATGGCAAAAACCTGGGAATTTTTCCCTAGATCCAGAGTTCTCAAAGTGTAGTCTGCAGACAAGCAGATTAGCATTATCACCTGGGAACTGTGAGCAGTGTCAGATCTTGGGCCCCACCCAAGACCTAGAGCATCATACACTCTGATGGTGGGGCTAGATGTTGCATGTGGAAGTTTAGGAGCCCCTGTGGGTGACTGTACCCCGAGGCCACTCCAAGCTTCACAGAATGCTGTCCTGACCCCCAGCATTTCTTCACTTGCTGTGCTAATTGCTTGGCCTTGTGGTGGGGTTCCAGGACATGTAAGGTGTGGTCTCTGTATGCACTAAGAGTTAGAGAGTTAGTGAACAGTCTGGAAGCCAGGAAGGCATTAGTATTCCTTGACTCTGATAAAGATTTATTGATGTGAGTCATTTTGCCTTTTCATTTCCTGCTGCTCTATAATGAGAAATCAAATGATATATTACACACAGAGAGAAAAAAATGTACAAGTTGTTCCCCGTTTGGAAGTAGTGGAGCAGAACCGAAGCTGTTTAGTGGATGTGTAGTCAGGGTGCTATTTAATACTTACATAATTCTTGCTTTCTAGGCTGTGCATGCATACACACATACACACATTAATATATATGTATGTTTAATGTATACATTTACATACATATTTTTTTTCATGATCAGACGTGTGTCATGTTCAGTACCTCAAGGAGTTTCCAAAGGATGTCATAGTTAGCAGGCCATTATGGAGTTCTTCGTTGTTACAAAGGATTTTCTTAGCTGTTACTGACTTTATTTTTTATTCTGGTTTAGTACATTTGACAGTAGTTTCTTATTCCCCTATTTGCATCATTCCTTAATCAGTTATATTATCTTGAATTATAGGTCCTTTGCATCACTGGTTTTTATTGTGTTTCAGAATAGCCTGAAGAGCTTGTTAAAAATGCACATTCTAGGGCATGCCCCTTTTATGCTGATTCTACATAAATTCTATGTTGAAATCGGGACTCTGTATTTTTAATAAGCAGCCTAGATGAATCCGAGGCAGTGATTTAATATGGCCTTGATAAAACCCTGAATTAACTTTTAGAAACATTGTTTACTTTGCCTTCAGAAAGACAAATCCAAATGGACAAAATTTGAGGAAGATGACAAATGTGTTTTCTTGTGTTTCAGTGGCAAGCGTACACTAAACAGTTTCTTAGGTTGTGCCAAGTATAAGAACAGAGTTAGATGGAAGGTAAGGGGGAAAAAATCAGTAAAAAAAGGATCCCAAAATCTTGTCCAGTGGTCTAGGATGGCAATGCAATCTTTTGAGAGAACACAGGGTAAAATTTTAAGGTAATCCTTATGACCTGAAGGCGTACTAAATGCAAACTGTCGGCAGTCAGTAGGATTTCTGTGTGCTAAAACCACTATTAGGGAAATAGTCTAGTGAGGTTAAGGGAAGCTCCAAGTGAATAACAGGATGCAAACAGGGGGTGTGTGAATTCCTGCGGAAAGAACAATATAAACGAGTAATCATACAATCTTATTAGAAAGGAAACTCAAGTTTTACTGTAACAATAGATATTTTTCCAAGAAAATACATCTATTTATTGCAAGTTTAAATAATCTAACTTGGATGGATCTTCTTAAACTTTGGGGCTCTGCTATCCTGCTTAAGCAGTACTTAAAAGTTTTTAAGTACAACACTAATATTTATACATATTTAATTAAAACTTTCTAAAATATAACAGAAGTGCTTGAACAAAAGAAGTGCTTGAACAAGACAGCCATTTTTCAGTTAAGGTTAGAAGCACTTTTTTGACACTATTAAATTTAATTTGTTTTATAATAAATTTTGTAATTCAAGATTGTGCTTTATTTTAAACCCTGTGTGGGTTCTGAATTCACAAAGAAGAAATGGGAAAAACATGCCTGCCCTAATAGCTTAAGATCTAGTGTCTCAGAAACTGGCATAAAGTATATTTAATAATGTACATTAAATACTTGTAATGCAACATTTAAGGAGTATTTTCAAGGGAAGTAAAATACTACTTAACTGCTACTTAATAAGTGTTATTAGTTCGGGCTTCAATTAAAGACATACTTAAAGGAAATTTTGAATGTTTAATCCTTAAAAACTCTTGAACTATATATATATTCTAGGCAGTGAAGCTCAGAGAATCGTTTTTCAGTTTGTACTCTTTGCTGATGCTACAGATGACATAATCATTATAAGAATGTTATAATATAGTGCTTTATTTGGGGGGTGCACTTAAACATGCCAGATATTGCCTATTTCTATCACTAGAATGGAAGTTCCTTAACAATATCTTAAACACTTAAAACAATGCCCACCCCACAGTAGGCATTCAATAAATGTTTATTAACTTAATTTCATTGACTTATGTCTGAAAAGCAATGTAAAATTCATATTGAATATTCTAGATTGATGTGTTTAGACATATATTTCTGGGACTTGTTTAAGATGTTAATTTTTTTTTACTATCCTATATAATAATATCTAGATTGATGTGTTTAGACATATATTTCTGGGGCTTGTTTAAGATGTTAATTTTTTTTTACTATACTGTATAATAAAACTATATAATAAATAGGTAATATGCAAATTGACCATCATGCCCTCACACAAGAAGGCTGCCCCATGTGGT